GTTCCCCCCCCCCCTTTTTTTTTACTTTGTATGTTACTCTTTAGTAACACCTCTATTCTTCTACACTTACATGGTCATAATTATTTATTGTGCAGCATATTATGCCGTAAAACTCTTACTTTACTCAAACTTTTCTTCCCTAGTGGAGTGTGGGAGCGACAACGACTGTCACTGGAACGGCAGATGTAACGAGAACAACACCTGTGTGTGTAAGGACGGCTACAAAGGAGACGGAGTGGAGTGTGTAGGTGAGTCGGGTAGTTTGGTTGACGGCATTTATCGTGGTTTGAAGTAGGCGCTTATATCTATGAGTAGGCCTCACATTTGTAGATGTGATGGTACTGGCGAAGGGCCGTTCCGTGAAAATGGTGAGTGGGGGTAGTTTGGTTGACTGCACGTATCGTGGTTTGAAGTAGGCCTCACATTCGTGGATGTGATGCTATTGGCGAGAGGTCCTGTAAAAAAATGCAGAATGCATCATCATTGTTAAAATGGGCAAGGGTGCATTGTGCAGCTAAAGCTGATCTATTGTTTAACAAGAAAGGATTACAGATATCAAAATCAGGGTTTGTGGTGCTATGGTTACGCTCTTTGATGTTGGGCGGAAAGGGTAATACCTCAATCCAATCAGGAGAAAGTTTGTTTTACCACGTAGCTATGTCTTCCTTCCTGCTTGACTGCTTGGGTACTGTATTTCTTACGGCCGAGTTGGTTTTGAAATGGCAGGCTGGAAGCGGCTTCTATTCTAAATAATCCAAATAGTGTCGGTTGGGGTGTAAAACATTTCGCCAACGTCCTTCAACAATAATCCAAATCAATTTCTGTGGGTTTCAAGAGTAAACCGTTTTTTGAATGAAGACAACAAGGAGAAGATCGCTGTCTAGTTTTATTCTGTCGTGTTATTTTTTCTTAGTTTTTCATTGAAAAATAGCCATTGCCCAAGTTATGGTTCTGATTTTGAGCGCTCTCTTTTTTTTAAAACATAAATTAGTGTAGTATAAAGAGCACCAATTCAGTTGGCTCACGCCATTGTTAATAATAAATTGGTTGTTTACAATTATGGCAAAAATTTACTAAACCTCAGCAAAAATATATTACCTTTAATCAAACGGTATGTTCAATGCTTGCATCATTTCACTTCACCTCTGTTCATCTTGCGTTCATTTTATAGAAATAGGTTAAATAGAAACTGAGTTATAGGGAAGTCTATGATGCTGAAAATTTGGATAACAAAATCAGCAACGTACAAGGATAAAAAAGCCTTCCGTATACTAAAAGTTAACGTTCTCAAAATTTCAAGAAACGACTTACGCGCTTATGAAATGATGTTGAGGATATCTCTATTATTTGTAATCAATCGTCAGATGTGAATGAGTGTGAAGACCCTGCCAGCAACGACTGCGATCAAAACGCCAACTGCATCAACACTGATGGGGAGTACGAGTGTGAGTGCAAGAACGGCTACGACGGTGACGGCTTCACTTGCACAGGTACAGTGTAGAAAGTTTGTTCGTTGTTTGTTTGGGGGGGGGGGGGGGGGTTTTTTTTTC